CTCCTTGATGTCTTCATCAGCATCTAGTGTTGGTGCATAGGCACTTATGATGGTTGCCCGTTGGTTTTTGGCAAGATCGATTCGGAGGGTTGAGAGTCGTTCGTTGATGCCAGTGGGTGCTTCGGACAGATGTTTCATCAGATCATTTCTGATGGCGAAGCCAACTCCGTGCATTCTTTGGTCTTTTTCGGGCAGTCCCTTCCAGAAGAAGGTGTAGCCTCCTTTTTCTTCCTTCAGCTGTCCCTCTCCTGCTCTCCGGGTCTCCTGAAGGGCTGCTATGTCGATGTTGAAGCGTCCCAGCTCCCTTGCAATGATGGCAGTTCTGCGTTCGGGGCGTTCACTGCCACTGTTGTCCATCAGAGTCCGTACGTTCCACTTACCGAAGTTCATTTTCCTTTTTTGGCCGCAGGGTGGTGACCCCACTGGACGCGGCAGTCCAGTCAGGGATAAGTGAGGCAGACTATGTTTAGGGCACCTTTTCTAGCCCCCTCCCCATGTGGGGTGAGCAGAGTGGGTCCTCAATAGGGCTGCTCAGTCGTGGATACAGCTGCCGAACTACTCAACTGCCTCGGACCTTGAGGTAGAACGACTGAGTCCGTACCCACCGCCCATGTGCCAGTCTGTGACTAGGGGCTTCCAGATTTCACAGTCCTGCCCCCGTCGCCACTCGCTGATCGCCATGGGACTTTGGTTGCTTGGTTTTTGTTTTCTTTGGAAGACGCCTGTGCGTGGGTTTTTTTAATGTGTGGAGGTCAGTGCACAACTGATCAACACACAGACTGTGTGGCGCCCCCCAGCACCACCTTCTGGGAACGGCCCTCCAGTGGCTCTGGTCCTTCCTGGTAAGACAGCCCAGAAGGATACCACAGTCAATGGTATCGAAAGCCATTCAATAACCACATTTTACCATAATTTCTCTAGTAATTTGTTATATTCTCAATGTACAGAGACTTTTGGGACACCCAAAAGTTTGATTTGTGCCCAAGTTAGAATTCAAAAATATCAGGCCTAATGTTCATACAACAGCAAGACATTCTCAGCTCTGCTCTGTCTCATCTCATACATGCTGTTCTGAAACATATTATTTTGTTTATTCATATCAGTGAAATCCAAGGATCCACAAATAAACTTTCTAGGTTATCACTAGAGTAAAAGTATCCTGAATGTCCTGGATCTTTTGTTTAGGGAGTGGGGGCAGTATCAAGGACAATCCCCATCCTTATCCTGAAGCTAAATGAGTCCTCATGTTGTGGTGATTTCAAATAGCTCCAAAGTAAACATGACACGAAGGAAAATATCAAGTTCATGCGTAAAGCATTCTCAGAATATCACACTGAGCCTTGGAAAAAGGCATTCTGAAAGTAGTGAGTTTTGTTATTTTCTGAGAACGGCCTGTGAGACTCAGCAGGGGGAAAAAGTGACTCTATATCCCTCTTCCAGTTGAAAGATGCCAAACATGCTCTGAAACAGAAAGAAAGGTTAAACACAGCATGATATCAAAAACCTCAAGCATTTTTCTCTAAGAAGCAGTGCAGAGAAGAAAGCAAAGCAAGACTAGCTAAACAATAGGGGACGCTTGCAGAAATCTACATTTTGTAAATCTTAATCTGTAGGAATAGCAGATTTTTGAAGGTCACCCAATAGAATGAAGACCTACAAAAGAACACTGTGCCATTAATAATGTTATAAAAGGCAAAAAATTAGCTTATTTTGAAAAGGTCCAGTTTCTTCTGTTCAGGTTTTATAGGAAACACACGAACGCTTGTAAAATAAGCTTGGGAAACTTTCACCGAAGCAAGATATATTCTTGAAAGCTCTGTTTGGTAGAGGAATGAAGGCAAAATGAATGTAAGTAGATGTGACAAGCAGTGTAGGGAGAACATTATAAGCATTTGTAAAGGCCAAGTCTTGTTTCCAACTTGGATTAAAAACACTTTCCCTCAGTTTAATCCGCGAGAGCAAGGATGGGCAAAGGGGCCAAATTTTTTAAATGTGTTTTTTAGGGGGAAAAAGTTTTTGATTTTTTTCCTTCTCTAAATCCCCTCAAAATGCACTTCAGTTGTTGTGAAGGGCATTTCAGTCATGCTTTGAGACAAAAACAATTTTTGTTAAATTCATAAAAATAAGGGTTTTTTGCCTTGAAATGCGTCAACATGTTTGTGAGTGTCTGTGTAGTGTACATTTCCAATTTTTGGTCCCACCAAACCAATTTAGATGCAGAAGAGATTATTTTGAACCCAAAAAATGGCACTATGTCCCCTAGACAAAAACTGTTTTGATGGTCTGGAGATATAAGAAACTAGGGTTACATCTACACTGTAGAATAAAGGCAGTTGGACACCACTTTAACTTCCTTGGGTCAATGCTAATGGAATTTTGGGACTTGTGAGGCCCCAGCACTCTTTGGCAGAGAAGGTTACAGGTCTTGTAAAATTACATTTCCCTTGATGCCATATCATTGATCCATGGCAGCTAAAGTGCTGTCAACTAGCATTAATTCTTCAGTGTAGATCATCACAGCAACTTCCTTGACCCTGTGTAAATGCCTGTCACTCCATAAAATGTTTTTAATTCTATTAAAAGAGAAAACTAAACGTTTGCATCACCATATGAAAGGACATCAGTTTGAAAACATACATACATACATACAACTCTTGGACGCAAGCCCCAAAAGTCAGTGGAATGTATGGGGAGTTTGTATGGTATGGGTCAGGATTATGGTAAGGGTTTCACCATTAAAGAACTCTTACATTCCTTCTATATTATCTGTCTCCAGCCTGGTTTACATTAGCTAAGTTTATCTTGCACAAACTGTGCTCCCGAAGGAGTGATGTGGCATTTCTATAACGCTCGGAGCTTCCGGACCCAGCTATCATACTATTACCAAGCAGCTTCCTTCACAAAAGAGTCAATCATGTGGCCAGTTGGGTGTGATGGACTACAACTCCCATTTATTGGCCCATTAGTGAAAAATGTTGCAGTCTTAACACATCTGGAAGAGTACATTATTTTCTTCTGATTCAGACAAGTGTGAAAGATTATCTTATTTATTTACCACATTTATATGCCTCCCTTCTCACCCCGAAGGGGACTCAGAGCGGATTACAAGATATATATACATGCAATATATTATATTAGCATAGTACAATATCAGTATTCTATATTGCTATATTTTACTATAACATTATATTATAGTATTATTAGTAATATTACATGTAATATAAAATATATAATTATAATATATTATTAGTATTATATTGTATTACATCATAAATATTATATGTATATACAATATATTACATTACAGTATTTACATTATAATATATATTTTTAGCATAGCACAGGAGACAAGGTCACCATTGATACTGAAATTCAACACCACCTGAGCTCTGCGAGTGCAGCATTTTTCTGAATAAAGCAGAGTGTTTGAGGACCAGGACATCCATAGGGATACCAAGGTGCTTGTTTATAAGGCTATTGTCCTCCCAACCCTGTTATACGCCTGTGAGACATGGACAGTACAGACGTCACGTGCAACTCCTGGAATTAGTGCTGCCTCCAAAAAATCCTACAAATCTCTTGAGAAGACAAGTGGACAAATGTCAGTGTGATGGAAGAAGCAATGACCATCAGCATTGAAGCGATAGTCCTTCACCATCAACTCCGCTGGATTGGCCATGTTGTCTGGATGCCCGACCACCGTCTCCCAAAGCAGTTGCTCTACTCCGAACTCAAGAACGGAAAACAGAATGTTGGTGGATAGGAAAAGAGATTTAAAGATGGGCTCAATGCCAACCTCAAAAACTCTGGCATAGACACTGAGACCTGGGAAGCCCTGACCCTTGAGCACCCCAGCTGGAGGTCAGCTGTGACCAGCAGTGCTGCAGAATTTGAAGAGGCACGAATGGAGAGTGAAAGAGAGAAACGTGCAAAGGGGAAGCCCCGTCAAGCCAACCGCAACTGGGACCGCCTTCCACCTAGATACTGATGCCCTCACTGCAGGAGAAGATGAAGGTCAAGAATAGGGTTCTATAGTCACCTACGGACCCACCGCCAGAACACTGAACTTGGAGGACCATCATCCTTGGACTACGAGAGATCGCCTAAGTAAGTAAGCAAATATTATATGTATATACAATATATTACATTACATTATAATATATTATATTATTAGCATAGCACAGGAGACAAGGTGGAACTGTCCCCTGGCCCCCTCTCTCTTTACTCTGGCCCAGAGGAGCAGTTGGTGCTGGGGGGAGGGGCCAATAGTACTTGCACTTCTTAAAAAGATGCTAAGAAAAGTATCAAATCCTGTGAGTGTAGTGTTGAAGAGCTCCCGGATTTTCAAATGGATTTGTGTGTGTGTGTGTGTGTGTCAGGAGCGGCTTGAGAAACTGCAAGTCATTTTTGGTTTGAGAGAACTGGCCGTCTGCAAGGTCGTTGCACAGGGGACATTGCCCGGATGTTTTAATGTTTTCCCAGGGGTCCTCAAACTAAGGCCCAGGGGCCGGATATGGCCCTCCAAGGTCATTTGGCCAGCCCTCACTCAGGGTCAACTTAAGTCTGAAATGACCTGAAAGCACACAACAATCCTATCTCATCAGCCAAAAGCAGGCCCACACTTCCCATTGAAATACTAATAAGTTTATATTTGTTAAAATTGTTCATCATTTTAATTATTGTATTGTTTTTAAGTGTTTTTTGCACTACAAATATGTGCAGTGTGCATAGGAATTCATTCATTCTTTTTCCAAATTATAATCCGGCCCTCCAACAGTTTGAGTGACTGTGATCTGGCCCTCCGTTTAAAAAGTTTGAGGACCCCTGTTTTACCATCTTTGTGGGAGGCTTCTCTCATGTCAGAGGAGTTGGCAGAGAAGGGAATAGCTCATAAGTAGTACAGGAAAGAAACCCAACTCTTCCCCCCTCCCTAGAAGATCAAGGCGCGCGTTTCTTCCAACGGTGGCGCATGCGCAAAAATTCCACCTCGCAGCCATCTCGCGATATTGTGAGTTTCTGCGAGATGTGGCGGCGGAGGGAGAGCGAAACGAACGGAGGCGCTGAGAGGCTGTCAAGCGCGCGCGCCGCCTTCCCCGCTTGGGCTGAGGAGAGAGAGGGAAGCCGGGCGTCATGGCGGCGGCAGCGCTCTCTCCTGCGACGACTCCCGCGGCCCACTGGAGCCGCTTCGAGCAGGAACGAGACCTGACCCTCCGGGAGCTGGTCCGGCGAGTGACGGGCCTCCAGGAGCGGGGCGCCGGCGAAGGGGAGCCCGGCCACTTCCAAGCGGCGCTCGGCTTCGCCTGGTCCAACGTCAGGTTTGCCTGCCTATTAAGAGGGGGCGGGGCCGGGGGGAGGCGCCGCTGCCAATCAAAGGGCGCCAAGGAGGTTGCCATGGCAGCCGAAGTGGAACCCTAGGGAACGAGGAAGGACCCAGTTGGGCGTAGCCATGAATACTCTACAACAGGCATGGGCAAGCTTGGGCCCCCCAGGTGTTTTGGACTACAACTCCCACAATTCCTAACAGCCGGTAGGCTGTTAGGAATTGTGGGAGTTGTAGTCCAAAACACCTGGAGGGCCCAAGCTTACCCATGCCTGGTATAGATGCCCCTTGTGTCCTGGATATAGTGATTTCTTTCACTGCAGATGAGAGAAATGAAATTTAATTCTAAACAAGTTGGCAGTTCATAAAACAACCCTCCCTAAATGTATCTGATTCTTCTTCACTTATTTTTTTCATAGCCACACTTTACTGATTATTATTGCATTGGAGGTACCAATTCTATAAATTCATTATGGATTAAATGTATGCTCACTTCACCTTCTGTGTTAGGAGCCCCTGGTGGCGCAGTGGGTTAAACTCCTGTCCAGCTCCTCATGCGGGGACATGAGAGAAGCCTCCCACAAGGATGATAAAAACATCAAAATCATCTGGGCGTCCCCTGGGCAACGTCCTTGCAGACTGCTAATTCTCTCACACCAGAAGCGACTTGCAGTTTCTTAGGTCGCTCCTGACACGACAAAAAAACCAAACAAACCTTCAGTGTTTTGGGAAAAATACATTTATTTGTATGTTTTAGTGATTAACCTTTTCTAGGGTTTCGACATATTCAGGGATGATTTCTGGAATTAATTTTTACTTTATTTAATACTTGCCACTCCACCCTATATATGTACAGAAAAACATATAATTTGAAATTGGTCCTTCATGAGGTCTGGTTAGATCAAATTTGGTCAGTTTGTGTGCTCTTTTTTTCTCTGCCTCTAAACCAGTGGTTCTCAACCTGTGAGTCCCCAGATGTTTTGGCCTTCAACTCCCAGAAATCCTAACATCTGGTTATTTTATTTATCGTATCAGAAACGAACCGAGGGTACAGTTGTAATGTAGTTTTGAAACACAAAGATTAAAAAAAACCTTGGAATTATACTAAATGTCTTTTGACCAGTAGCTGGCCATTGTGTTGCTATAAGAAGGTCCTCCATTGTGCATGTGGCAGGGCTCAGACTGCATTATAATAAGTGGTCTATGGTTTGCTCTTGTCCATACTCACATGTCATGGAATCCACTTTGTGGCCCCATTTCCTAAGGTTGGCTTTGCATCTCATGGTGCCAGGGTGCAGTCTGTTCAGGGACTTTTAAATCACCCAGTCTTCTGTGTGCCCAGCAGGGAATCTCTCATTCAATATCAGTCATGGATCGAGGTTCCGGGTTTTAGCCTGCCACTTTTGGACTCTCGCTTGCTGAGATGTTCCTGCGAGTATCTCTGTAGATCTTAGAAAATTATTTCTTAATTTAAGGCGTTGAAGTGCTGGCTGATATCTGAACAGAGGATGGACTGGAGATGTCACTGCCATGGTCCTTTCATTATTGGCTGCTACTTCCTGGCAGATGTCAGGTGGTGCAATACCAGCTAAACCAGGGGTAGGGAACCTTCGGCCCTCCAGGTGTGGTGGACTTCAACTCCCACAATTCCTTGAGGCTCGGCATTCGCCCCAAAGGCTTACACGAACCTCAAGGAATTGTGGGAGTTGAAGTCCACCACACCTGGAGGGCCGAAGGTTCCCTACCCCTGAGCTAAACAGTATAATCCAGTGGTTCTCAGCCTGGGGTCCTCAGATATTTTTGGCCTACAACTCCCAGAAATCCCAGCCAGTTTACCAGCTGTTAGGATTTCTGGGAATTGTAGGCCAAAAACATCTGGGGACCCCAGGTTAAGAACCACTGGTATAATTTCTCTAGGGGTATAGGGCCCTACACCAACAGGTGGTAAACTGTCTAGAGTTTCTGGGAGTTGTAGGCCAAAATACCTGGGGACTCACAGGTTGAGAACCACTGCTCTAAACAATGTTACTCAAAGTAGTGCCAGAAAAGAAGCCATTTCAGTGGTTCTCAACCTGTGTTTCCCCAGGTATTTTGGCCCACAACTCCCAGAAATCCCAGCCAGTTTACCAGCTGTTAGGATTTCTGGGGGTTGAAGGCCAAAACATCTGGGGAGCCACAGGTTGAGAACCACAGCATTTATTTATTTATTTATTTATTTCACAGTTTTGTATACCGAGCTTCTCAACCTCGTTGAGGGACTCAGCCCGGTTTACAGCCATAAAAACATATACATTCATTAAAATATCATATATCACAAATTACACAACTTTAAAAACACTAAATATAAAACTACAGTGGTCAGTCGTCCTAATAAGATGGATCTATATCCACTTCCATCCAGAGTCCTATGGTGTTGTCTCATTCCTCGAAGGCCTGACTCCACAGCCACGTCTTCACCGTTTCCTAAATGTTAGGATGGATGGGGCGGTTCTGGCCTCCAGAGGGAGAGAGTTCCATTATAGTAATATGAAAGTATTCATTGTATTCCAAGGAGAGCCATTGTTTCTCTTGCAATATCGGCAACTTTCAGGGAGGTATTAGCACATTTGCAGAGTGGGCAGAGAAGAAAATACCTTTTTGGCTGTTCACAAACATGGAATAGTACATTTGATACGGCAGTGCTTTATTGCCTCATTTGCGTACACCAAAAACTGCTTAAAACTGTTTCATTTCTTTTTCAAGACATTTTGTTTCCTCATGCAAAACATGTTCTTGCATTTTTTTCCTTCAGGTTTCATCGATTTCTCGATGTAAGTAGTCACAAAGTGGAGAAAACAATAGAAGGGTAAGTTCTTTTTTATTTTGAGACATTATGTTAGTTCTTTACTTTTGATATATTAATAGATAGGACCTCACTGTTTTGACACAGAATTTATGAAAAGCTGGTTGTTCATTCAGAACTTGTAAAAGCTGCAAGTTGGAAAAAATTAACAGAAAAGTTTCTGAATTTGCCTCTTCCAACAACTGAAGGAACAAAGGTATGCGTTTCTCCCCCAATTGTATTATTGCTTCTTTACATTTGTTCTGGCTATAATCACTGTATGATGGAAAGCCCTCTAACTGATTTTTGTAAAGCAAGTGTTTGTATTGCGTTTGCATGACATATCCATATAGACAAGATAACTTAATGCTGTAGATAACGAAACATCCAGGATTAAATAATATATACTTTATTTATATTCTTCTCTATCTCCCTGAGGGGACTGAGTTGATTACAGGTACATATATGGCAAACATTCAATGCTATTATACAATTGACAGAGACAGACAGTACATAAACAGAGGCGAGGCTTCCCTCTTTTCATCTCCGACATCCAGCTGTGTTTGACTCAGCCATGGGGAGGTGCTGTTTCATTTTCCATGCCGAGGAGTCTGTTGTCCATGGATGTCTTTCCTGGTCGGATTTTTGCCGGCATGTTTTTTCAGGGCACCTTTAACCTCCCTGCCAAAGTGGAACTTATTTATCTATTTACATTATTGTTTTTGAACTGTTAGGTGAGCAGAAGCTGGGCTGACCCCCGACCCGGGATTGGATGGCCAACCTTCTGGTTGGCAGGATCTTCTATAGCAGGCAGTTTAAGCCGCTGTGTTAGTCTGGCTCCTAGGATTACAGTCCTGGGGGGGGGGGGGGGGGAACACACCACATTTTTGATAGGCCAACTGCAGCATTGCAGAGGCTATTGCAAATGGGTGTTATCAGGCTTAGCTAAACATGTATTAAAGGAACCTTTCTGCTTTGAGATTTCCAGTAATATGATCGGCAGAAGGTTGCATGACTATGGCAACATCCATTTCTATTGTCCAAAAATGTTTGAAGACATGTAGCTATCGTTTTTTGGTAATGGGAGAGTGGATATATGTCCATAAGATAAATGGTGGTCTGGTGAGGATGGGAATAGTCAGCAAGATCGTTGCATTTCTTTATGAGGCAGTTCTAATATTTTATCCGGTAATAACCATTCTTTTCAGAAAATGAAACTTCCCAGAATATGTCAGTTAATTAAACCTTTGACATTTATTGTTCATTGCATAGACTGAAGAGCTGAAATTTATCATGAAACCTGTAGGGTGGATTTTAGTAACGCTTCACTGTCTTTAGTCATTTTGCGATGACTCAGATTTCTTGCTATGAAATGAAGAACAGAGTTAATGGAAGTACACTGTTCTGTCGACTGATATTTTGTTTCATGAGTGATTTTATATCCTGAGTCTCTTCTTAAGTTATGGTAAACTGAAGACCTTATGTTGTAATACTAAATAAGTCATTATAAAAATTAATCTGCTAAATTCCTTAATTACTAATAAATGCATTCCATTCACTGAATTGCTTGTTTATCTTCTGTATTTAAGACAGAGACCCATTATGCTCTACTCTCTCTCCTGCTATGCTTGTCTGATTCTCCTTCCAACACCAGTTATACAGAAAAACCGAGAGAGAAAGAAGTGGGTACGTTTCAGTATATTGAATGTATTCATGCATTTGTATTGCGGAAACTGAGTGGAAAATGTAATCTATTATTTTTGACATCTTAACATGTTTTGTTTGCTAAACTTATATGAAGTTCTTTTTGTTTTGTGAATTATTCCTAATATGTTGCTTATGTAGGAAAATATTTTTATGCTGAAGATACCATCCCTTCAGAAGTAACTTCGCAGAGGCTGCCCATTGGCAGTACCAGAAAAGGCCAAATAGATTCTCCCATTTTCTGTCTCTTCATTACCCCTTTCTCACCCTTTTCTGGTTGCTGAGAAAGAGACAGATCCCTCTTTCAGAGGCCCAAACTGATTGGTTGCGGAAGAACTTTTAGATTAAACAAAGGGCAATGAATAACTTGCTATGAAGTACATTGAAACCTTATTCGTGTTTTGAGTTTCAAATTATCTCAGCTCAACTATCTTGTGATGGAAAATTGTGATGGAAAATTGCTGAGAAGGCAGTTGAAAATAAGTAGCCATGGCTCTTTATATGTTCTCTCTGCAGAAAAAGAAGAATTTGATTGGGGAAAATACTTAATGGAAGGTGAAGAATTTGACTTTCCGCCTGATTTAGAAACACCGGTAAGTAATACACTGTTTTATCATGACATAGGGCTAAATAATTTAGCATCTTTTTCTAGTTTGGGGATTATTCTTCTGCTAATCCTTCTGCTTCTCAAACTGACAGCAATCTCTATTTGGTACTGAAAATCCATTGGCAATTCAGAAATAATCCCCCCGCCCCATTTCTTAGCATATTTTTGCATTTCATTATATCTTGGAATATGTTTAAGAAGCTCATTTTAGTGCCTTTTTAAAACAAGGAATGAGTGTTACCCTCAATACAATTTGGATATGGTAATAATTATCCGCATAGTTAAAGCAATGGTATTCCCCATAGTCACCTACGGATGTGAGAGCTGGACCATGGGGAAGGCTGAGCGAAGGAAGATAGATGCTTTTGAACTGTGGTGCTGGAGGAAAGTTCTGAGAGTGCCTTGGACAGCGGGAAGATCCAACTAGTCCATACTTTAGGAAATAAAGCCCGGCTACTCATTGGAGGGAAGAATAGTAGAGGCCAAGATGAAGTACTTTGGCCACATCATGAGAAGAAAGGAAAGCTTAGAGAAGACAATGATGCTGGGGAAAATGAAAGGAAAAAAGAAAAGGGGCCGACCAAGGGCAAGATGGATGGTTGGTATCTCTGAAGTGACTGGCTTGACCTTGAAGGAGCTGGGGGTGCTGATGGCCGACAGGGAGCTCTGGCGTGGACTGGTCCATGAAGTCAGAAATGACTGAATGAATGAACAACAACAACACAAAATGAAGAGCCAAGTCTTAACTTGATTTCTAGTCCCACTTAGAATTTAATCAGTAGAATTTATGTAGTTGCTGATTTACCAAATTTCCATTGATTGTGTGAAGCCGATTCAATGTGAAGTTCATTCACATTGAATCGACTTCACGTAATTCAGTTAAAATTGTAACTGAATTTTTAAATACTGTCTATATTTATTTCTGAATGCTTCTGGAACAGCCCGAAAAACCTACAACAACCCAGTGATTCCGGCCATGAAAGCCTTCGACAATATATTTCTGTTTGAATGTTTGCATATTTGTATGTTTAAAATTGTATGCTACTGCTTTTATGTTAAGCCATTTTGAGTCTCCTTCAGGAGAGATAAAGGGGGGTATAAATAAACATAATAATAATAATGATGATAATAATAATAGTTTTGGCCACTACTGTTAAATTGTTGGAAACAAAAATGATCTTATGCAAAACACCTAGAAATGTACCATCAGAACCAGTCCTGCTGGAATGTAGTATGCTGGGACATATAGTAATATACTTACATTTTGACAGGAGTGGTCTGATGCAAGTAATGATGAAGAGGATGCTGAGCCTTTGAGTAGGGAAGACTCTGGCATTCAGGTGGACAGGACACCACAAGAAGATCAAGATCAAAACAAGAAGTCAGCATCTCATGTTACCTGGAAAGGTTTGTTCTCTGTAGCTTGACTTATTTTGGTAGAATCTTTATATTAGAAAATAATTTATTGATTGTGCAATTCAGTTCTGTATGAAACTTTTTGGATTGACACACCTCTACTCCTAGGTTTGTACCTTTAATGGCAATCACCTCTGTCTTATCTGGATTCAGTTTCAATTTGTTTTTCTTTATCCAGCCCAGTGGTCTTCTACCTGTCTGTCCATAGATGTTTTGGTCTTCAACTCTCTAGTAAACTGTCTGGTATTTCTGGAAGTTGTAGGCCAAAATACCTGGGAACCCCCAGGTTGAAAACCACTGACCCACTCCTCCAGGCATTTACTCAGAGGAAACATGCTATCCTGAGGTGAAGCTGTTTTTAAAGGCATGGAGAAATATATTTGGGTGTCATCAGCATAGTGATAACACACCGCCCCACGCCTATAGGGGTTATCTCCCAGCAACTTCATGCAAATATTAAAGAGCATTGGGAATAGAATGGCACTTTGTGGGATGCCATATAACAGCTTGTTTTTGAGAAGCAGCTATCCCCAAGCACCCCCATCTGGAAACTGCCAGAGAGGTACGACCACAACCACTGCAACACAATATTTTAATAGTTTTGTGCATAAGACAAAGTTTGTGTATATTGAACCATCAGAAGCACGTGGATGATTTTGCGGTATTTTGGAATTCCACATAAGAGAGGCTCAACCTGAATAAACGGTTGAATCCAAGTTTCCAGATTTTTTTGTATAGAACTAATATTGCATTCTATAGTTGTTTATTGTGTGTGTGTGCGTGCATGCACACATATATGGGGAATCTTCCTTTTTATTTTAATGGAATTTTACAGTTGAAATTGTCTGCATTTACATTGTCTGCAGGTGAACCTGATTCACGTACCTGGTTGGAGCAACATGTAGTTGCTCCATACTGGACCGGAAGAGGAGCCCGTTTTTCCCATAGTTTACATTTCCATTCCAATTTAGCTGCTGTATGGTGAGTAGCTAAACAAATTCTATATCTGTATTACAATTTATTCATTTTATTATATTCTTCTATACATCTACTGAAACTGTAGAAGAAGAGAATACACAAATAACGTTTGATACTCTTCACAAATATTTTCAGCTACAAAATATGAATGATTTCTCCCACAGGCAGCAGCATTTATATAATACAGATCCGCTGTATATGCCAGAAGAAAGAATTCTTGTTACGGAAACACAGGTTATTCGTGAAACGATTTGGTAAGTGGCAGGACTTTTGAAATCTGTCTGATATTCTGATATTGAATAATCTTAACATGTTGCAGATCTTTATAGGTTTTAGAAAAGTGGTTATATGATGGTTTATTTCAGTGTTTTCATTTTCAACAATTCTGTTATTGGCATTTTCTCAATACTGTATAGCAAAACTTATACTATATCTTTAGTGTAATATTTGGGAGTCCTTCATTATCCTTGAAATTACACATAGGAGTATGAGTGTGTGTGAAATTAATAGCTCTTCAAAGGATTTTGCTTCTTTCCTTACAGAGACTTGGTTAACTTCATGGTGACATTTACCAGTGACAGAGGCCCCTTCTGTACTGCCATATCATGCAGTTTGAAACTGCATTATATGGTCAGTGTAGACTTGTATAATGCAGGTCAATAAATTGCAGTTCACTAAACAATTGAGAGAAACATACATTTCAAAACTTAAACTTTGTCATAACAAGCACAGTAAATAAATAAATCACTTTTAAAAATAAGTGTTTTCTTAATACAGTCTGCAAACTACTTGTATAAAGCTGGTTTGCATTTTTTAAATAATCACAGCTGAAACTGCCACAGTATCTCTACTATAGCAGCATATACTCACAGTCATATTGTGCCAATACATCTATGTAAGCCATAAGTAATATTGGAATTAATTCTTTGTCTGGGATTTTATGGAATGTGCCTTCTATTATGAATATGCATAATTTGGTAAATTTACCAAAAAGGTATAGCAAAGTTCTGTGCTTTATATATGTTATGTCTGGTTGTTTTTTACAGGCTTCTTTCAGGTGTAAAAAAGCTGTTTATATTTCAGCTGAATGAAGGAAAGATTACTGCAAGAAATGATATCATGGTCACCCACTTGACACGTGTAAGTTAAATGAGCAATCCAGGTCTCAACAATAATGTGGTGCATAGAAACCCTGCCTGTCACATGAGGGGAAGAGTTGGTACAGAAATGGTGGTAACTGATATCCCCTGTATTTTACTTTGTAAAGTTGCAATGAAAGCTGTTTCTGCATCATAAAATTACATTGAAGCCATACGTACATATTCATTTGTCAAAGGGTTTATGTTATATAATACTGAGATATCCTGCTTTGTTTTACAGAAATCATTAAGAACAATGCTGGAGAGGATAGCGGCATATGGGCAAGTTGTATTTAGGCTGCAAAAGTTTATTGATGAAGTGATGGGTCACAGCTCAGAAAGTGGGATACATGGAACCATGTCCACACCAAAAAAATCGGTAGAAGCCCCATTTAGAACCTACCAGGCATTTATGCGAGCTCTCTATAAGTATTTCATCAGCTTCAAAGAAGAACTTACTGAAATTGAGAGGTGTATTATCAATTCAGGTAGTGAAAAAAGTTTTTTTTAATAAATCTTCATTTGTAGTAAAATATATGAGTTGTGGGACATTAATCATACTTTATATCATAAGGAATCTCAATTTGTCCTTTGTAGACATGACCATTACACTCTCTATAGTAATGGAGAAATTGTCTCCTTGGCTGGCACAGCTGAAGGTCCTGCATAAAGTGTTTAGCACTGGAGTTGCAGAAGTGCCCCCTGATACTCGCAACGTTGTGAGAGCTTCTCATTTGCTTAATACTCTGTACAAAGCCATATTGGATTATGACAATGTTGGAGAAGCTTCAGAGCAAACGGTATGTGCGTACCAACTTAAACAGTTATCATTCCTGTTGGAAAAACAAGCTTTTACTCCTCTCAAATGAAGATAAGATTTTGTGGTTCAGAAAGGGCCATTTAATGGTTTAATTTGTTATCTCTAGATAATAGCCTGGGATATAAAGCCTATTCAGAGTATTCTGTGTGTATTTGGCAGGTTTTCTGATCCTCTATTTTAGCGGTAGCTTCCTGTTTGTGTTCCATTAAAAGCCTTTCATAGAATAGATTTGGAAGAGACCACTAGGGCCATCCAGTCCAAATCCTTGCCATGCAGGAAAACACAATCGAAACACCTCCGACAGATGGTCATCCAGCTTCTGCTTAAAAACCTCCAGAGAAAGAGACTCCACCACTCTCCAAGACAGCATATTTCACTGCAGAACAGCTCTTATTGTCAGGAAGTTCTTCCTAATTCTTAAGTGGAATATTTTTTCCAGAAGTTTAAATCCATTGCTTTGTGTCCTAGTCCCCAGAGCAGCAGAAAACAAACTTGTCCCCTCCTCAATGATAGCCATGGATCAGTGATAGCCATGGTTGTCATGGATCACATCTAGAATAATATCCTATGGGATTTGGAGCCAGAAGGAGATATCTCCATGCTTTTTGCAGCAATGATCGGATAGATGGATTTCTCTGGATATGATTTAAAATAGTTTGTGGGTGGTTTACATTCTTTTCGAATAAACTCACATAATATTTATAAACCGTAATTTTCTTTAAATTTTCATCTCAGGTCTCTCTCTTGTTTTCTCTGTGGGTTGAGACAGTAAGACCATATTTACAGACAGTGGATGAGTGGATTGTTCATGGAAGTTTATTTGATCCTGCCAAAGAATTTATAATTCAGAGGTAAGCTAATGAACATCTTTCTCAGATACATTGGTGATAGAGAATAGATAACAATAATTGTGCCTAGATGGCAATAGCTAGGGTCCCATAAATAATCACCCCAATTGTTTTTTGTTTGTCTAATATAAATGTATGTAATTGCAATCGAGGAGTATCTGAACTCTAATGTGTGATCAAAGAAGAAATGGATGCTCAAAACTGAAAGAAAATTTAAATTTAAATGTACAGGGGAATATGTGGGTTGTGATACTGCTAATGGACATTGCTTAATTTTGTGTGAAAAAGTTTTCATAAGGAATATCTTGGGATAGGTCTGCGGTGGTTTATGTGTGCATCGCATTTTATTGAGTGCTTGAAAATATTGTTTAAAGTCAAAGTTAATATGTTGTTGAAGGCTTCCATGGCTGGAATCACTGGGTTGCTGTGAGTTTTCCTAGCTGTATGGCCATGTTCCAGAAGCATTTTCTCCTGACATTTCACCCACATCTATGGCAGGCATTCTCAGAGGTGATGTCTGTTGGAAACTAGGCAAGTGAGGTTTATATATCTGTGGAATGTCCAGGGTGGGAGAATATATAAGCCTCACTTGCCTAAGTTCCAACAGACCTTACCTCTGAGGATGCCTGCCATAGATGTGGACAAAACGCCAGGCGATAATGATTCTGGAACATGGCCATAAAGCCAAGAAAACTCACAACAACCCAGTAAAAGTTAATAGTTTTCTAATTTCATGGATATTTTCATTAGGTAGTATTATTTTACTAAAATGCCTGAGGATATACTTAAGAACCTCATCCATTCTGGCTAGTGATTATGGTTAAATATTAATTCTAAACTCAATATTTCTTCAGTCGGAGTATTTTTATAATCTAGTGAGATTACAATTGATTTTAGTACTTCTGTTCATTGAATTAGTTTGTTTGCAATGCATTAGTGGGCTACTTTCCTTTTATAACCTGACATTCTGCTTCAAATTATTTTCTGAAACATACTTCATATAGACTTTGTTACTAGTGAAGAATTTGTGGTCTCATAACAAGAGAACTCGCTTTTCTGTCTCTGCAGAAACAAAAATGTTCCTGTGAACCATAGAGATTTTTGGTATGCTACTTATACTTTGTATAGTGTATCAGAAAAATCAGAGAATGAAGAGAAGATGAGTGACAATGCTAGTGCCAGTTCTGGGAGTGATCTGGCACCCTCAAGCAGGCAGCATACCATGGTCTCTTTTTTGAAACCAGTGTTGAAACAGATCATTATGGCTGGGAAGTCTATGCAATTGCTGAAGAACTTGCAGTGCACCGATGGTTTTCCACAGCAGGCTGCGTCCAGAGGTGAAAAATGGCTATTGTGCAAAATTCTCTTTGTTATGTAAATTAATATTGTAACCCTCACTTTTAGTCCTGGACCATTCTTCTTGCTACCTTAGTATTAGATTGCCTGCATGTACTTATGAAATTTAGCTTTTGTTTCAGCTACTAAGTTTTAGCTGGAATGTTTCCCCACTTGAGTAATTTATTGTAAAAAAATAATAATCTAGGATTAAATTTAATTTTAGAAATTAAATTTAAAAGTTAGTTTTTGACCTTAATATCTAAATGTCAATTTTCTATTACCATATTTACTGAGATCTAATGCACATTTTTGGCTAAATGACCTTGCCAAAATTAGGGTGCAAATTAGATTCACATAATACTGTAATCTTAGTGCTGAGACAAAACAAAAGAGGAAGCTGCTTCAGGAGCTGGACGTGGAGTCCCTATTTGAGGGATCTCATCTCTGTTTTAATGGCCATGGCTCAATGCTATGCAGTTCTGAGATTTGTAGTTTGGTGAGATGTCAGCATTCTTTGGCGGCCCCCATAATCCGAAACAACATCCCCCATGTCCTCAAAGCATTGAATCAGGACAGATTTGCTTTCAGGGTTTTGAAAATTGAGCTGTGCGTTAGATTCGATGGTGCATCAGAGTTGAGTAAATACGTGTATATCAGAAAATTATGTCTTATCAGGATAAGTGATATAGACTCTAGTATTAAGGGCTTATTAGTAAAATCTGAATTTGCCTGCATGTATGGAGCCCCCGGTGGCGCAGTGGGTAAAAGCACTGAGTTACTGAGCTTGTTGATCGAAAGGTCGCAGGTTCGATTCCGGGGAGCGGTGTGAGCTTCTGCTGTCAGCCCTAGCTTCTGCCAACCTAGCAGTTCAAAAACATGCAAATGTGAGTAGATCAATAGGTACCGCTCCTGCGGGAAGGTAACGGCGCTCCATGCAGTCATACCGGCCACATGACCTTGGAGGCGTCTACGGACAGCGCTGGCTCTTCGGCTTAGAAATGGAGATGAGCACCACACCCCAGAGTCAGACATGACTGGACTTAATGTCAGGGGACTACCTTTACCTTTACCTATACTTACTTTAATAAAAGTGTGTACTGAACGATCCATACACTTGTAGCTCAAGAAACCCTAAGCCAGCTAAAAATCAAGTGTACAATTCAACCTAATATGCTGAGTGAGTCTGTGATGATGACAAGATCTAATATAAGATGAATAGTTGGTTGAGTGAACCGATGCTATCTTTTTATGGGGCATCTATAAGATAACAATCCTGATCCCAACCGTACTTCAGAGTTAAGGAAAACCTTCAGGTATTTTTGCTATAAAACTGCTATACAGTTGTCTCTCCATATCCACAACTAGCAAATATTTTTTTAAATCTAAAAGTCAATTTTTAAATACATCATAACAACTTTCAGCTTGTTTGTTTATTAAATAGCATTTATATTATTGTCCTATAGCAAAAAAAAAAGGATTCTAAAACTGTCTACAAATTGTTAAACTCTCTGGACTACATGTGACATGATTTTCTGTAATGTATTAAACAGTGACATTGCTTGCTTTTTATGAGCTTAGAGCTAGTAACTTACATGTTCGTATTTCAAGGGCTATATAATAATAATAAACTATATTGGTAAATTCAAATTTGTGGAACTGAAACATAAAGTGGAATTGTTTTTGTTTTCTTTGGTTAGCATTTGATCTGGCTTTAATGGAAGCATTTGAAGAGTAAATAACTTTTATTTCACTATTCAATTCAGATACAGAAAGGAAGAGTCTGTACATGTTATTTCTTGAATCAGTGCAGTCACGGCTGCGACACGGAGAAGAACCTGCTCAGGATATTGTTACAGAGCAGCAGGTTACTAAGCAGAGTCTAATAAAGATGCAGTCTATTGCAGAAAGACATTTGGAGTTGGATGATGTTCATGATCCCTTGCTGGCTATTAATTTTGCAAGGTAATAGAAGTGACACAATTTTTTTTTCACTTTATTGTATCGAAATTCTGACACCTGGTTGAGAATTCCTTTCATTTAGAAGTTATATATACATTACTTATAATTATATTTAAAGTACTAAAAATGTAAGGGACTGTGAAGCTGCTTGTCATAGTCTAGTGTTCAGAAGTGTTGCTGTTCATTTTTATTGCCTTAGTCAGTGGTTGATTTGACATGGTCAGGACAAAATAAACAAAAACTGAAATATTGAAAGGAGGAAATCATATAAAATAAGGTACAGATAATTCTTGTGTGTGATTCCGTACATGATCCGTAGTAATGAAAAAGAATGGGGCAATCAAAGTATAGTGTTAGATGCAGAATTTGACAGTAGATTTGCTTGCTTTAAAATTGCAATGATAAGTTTTACGGGGGGAGGGGGGACACTGGAATTTGTTGTGGAAATTAATTGTTGTTGGGGATAGAGTGAAGTGGGAAGGACCTGCAAATTGCATATTTGCTGCAGTGCCAGAGGCACTTCGTTCACTTTTGTCATAGTCTTCATCTTTACATCAGTGACGGAATAATCTGGGAGAGCTTTAGAAGCTGATGAAGAACCAAAAGTTACATAATTATTTGATTATTTTATTTTAGTATTTCTTTGAGAAGTACTGGTTATTGACTTTTTCAATTGGTGAGGATCTCTGCTTTTGGGAGGGGGGTGGGTGAGGTGGAATAGAGACAAGTTATTATATAAACTATAATCTTCTGCCAAGCACCATGAAGTCTAGCTTTAATTACAGGCTTTGCCTCATAAGGCCTTAGATTACAGCTCATCAACCACTGGGAAATAAAAAAAATAGTTTTTCTCCTGTTATCCAAATTGTAATGTAGGTTAATTTTTTTGAACATTCTGTAAATGGGGATCAATTTTCAACATACTTAGGATTAGGAAGTGGATGGGATGGTGCTTCGAATACAATTCCCCAAGAGACTTTGGTGTCTGCAAATTTTACCTAGATGGCCATGAGATTTGTTCAAGAGGACCCAGTTAGCAAGCTAATTGTCCTCAGAACTGGGGGCTCAGCATGCCACAGATAGCTAGCTGCAGGTATGTATTTCTATATAAACCTGCAAGTCCTATTAATGTTGCAAAAATCCTCGAAATGTATATTTCTCTCATTTTCCTTAATACTGGAGATCCAATCTAACTTTAGAGACAGAAGTTCTGTGGAGATTTAGCCCCTATGTCTTGGCAGAATTTGTCTGTCCACCACCCTCCTCACATCCCTAAGCATGTAAGAGAGCTGAACATATTTTATGGATGAATTCATATGAAAATTCTAAATATTGTTTTTATCATTTTTAGGCTATATTTGGAACAGAATAACTTCCATGAGACACTTGCTGCTGATGATGTTTGTGTGGATAGATCATCTGAATCAGTTACATGTCAAACGTTTGAACTGACATTGAGGTCTTGTCTTTATCCTCACATAGACAAACAATATCTACAGTGTTGTGGCAATTTAATGCAAACTTTGAAGAAAGATTACAGGTAAGAATTTAAATAGATGGTGTGATTTTAATAATTGATGCAATTGTTTAGATGTATTAATTCTTTGATTTTTAATGTAAATGCTTATTTAATTGTATGTTGCTTTTATGGCATTGAATTGTTGCCGATGTGTAAGGCTGCTCTGAGTCCCCCTCAGGGTTGAGAAGGGTACAAATGAGGTAAATAATAAATAAATACATTGATACCAATGGCACATAGCCAATGCTTACAAGCTTCGTGGCCATTAGAGGGGACCTGGATTGAATTTCAGTATTCAGTGAAGGACATGTACTCACTCAGAATAGAACCCAGACCTCTTTCCTGTGGTGGAAGAAGCTTCCTTATAAGTTAGGGATGGATCTACACTGCTATATAATTCAGCTTGAATCTACATTATATGGTCAATGTAGACCCATATAATTCAGTTCCAAACCGTAAATCCAGCATTTGACTGTTATTGTTACAATGAATGCCTTAGGAGAAGGAAATCGATAACAGGCTCCAATCCTTGTCTATGATATAAAAAAATAAAGAATGTATTTTCCCAGAAATATGATGGAAGGAAATCTGCTGACAGTGAATTACTATATATATATATGTGCATTTGCATGGTTGATGTAACCATGCATGACTTTCATAGTTCATTTTAAAAATAGGGGTTTCCCCCTAAATGTGTACTTAATGCAGAGAATAGCAGAAAAACCAGGCCTCCTGCGTTCAACTTCAGTGAGAACAGTTTTTTGTGTTTTAGAAAAGAAATAACTCATGTATATAATGAGTACTTTCATTTCTCCATTTGATATTTTAGTTTAGCAGAACAGTTTTAGTAATTTAAAGCCATTTCTACATCCTTATGAGAGATGCCTAACTAGAAAAGTGTCTTAATGTAATTGCTTAATTTATTTTTGTTATTTACTGTGTTGAACCAGACCATACGCAATTATGTCATTTTTTTAATTCCTGTCTCTATTTGCCTGGTTCCTATAGAAAAGTGTATTGGATCAGTGAAGGCTATTTCCGCATTCTGGTAAAAGAGTCATTCCTTCCTTTTCCTTCAGGCTTGTGCTGCCCAATAAATGTTATGCAAAGACACATTGCCTCTAGTACCTAGGCTTATATGAGTTAAATCTATTTGTTAATCACAATCAGAGTATACCAGTTGAATCAGTGGGAACTTGATAAGTCAGCTGTTTGGTAAATTCAATTGATTGGGACTAATAATTTGAATTTACCCCATACACACACATACATCATAGCTAGTAGCCACAATATCCATATCCTTCATGAATTGTCTCATCCAGCTTTTAACTTTTTCAGATTTCAGCAGAGGGTTCAGTAGTTTAACTGTAAATACTGCTTTTTAAATCTCTTGAATCTCCCACCATTCATCTTCATTGGATGACCTTGTGCTCTAATCTTATGAGAAATAAAGAACAATGTACTTTTTCCACACACTGAAGTACTAAAATGTGCGGTGTAATAATATGAAGTATAAACGTGTATTTCTCGCTTAGGCTGGTAGAGTACTTGCAAGCAATGAGAAACTTTTTCTTATTGGAGGCTGGAGATACTATGTATGATTTCTACACATCCATTTTTGATAAGATACGAGAGAAAGACACTTGGCAGAATGAACCGTTTCTTAATGTCCAGCTCCAAGAAGCAGTTGGACAGCGCTATCCAGAGGACAGTTTGAGGTATGCTTTCAAATTGCATTTATAAGACCAGAGGCTAAAGTGGATGGAATCGGCCTTTTTATTCTGTCTCCCCAACTCTATCATGCTTCAAAGAACTGTTCATTTTTGCCAGAGCGCTGAAGAGATTGCTTACGGAGGGATTTTGAAGTTACGTTGAAGACTGCAGATGTGTATACCTGATGTACAGTACATTATTTGCAGGAAGGCTTTATTGTTCATTCTGGGGAGTATCCACAGGGAATTGAATTAATACAGTTCAGTAGAAAGGTACTTTGAAGAAACAATTAGGGAGCAAGCTTGCTTTCTGCTGCCCTGGAGACTAGGACATGAAACAATGGTTTCAAACTACAGGAAAGGAGATTCCACCTGAAGATTAGGAAGAACATCCTAACTGTGAGAGCTGTTCAGAAGTGGAACCCTCTGCCCCAGAGTGTGGTGGAGTTTCCTTCTTTGGAAGCTTTTAAGCAGAGGCTGGGTGATCATCTGTCGGGGGTGCTTTGAATGCAATTTTCCTGCTTCTTGGCAGGGGGTTTGGACTGGATGATCCACGAGATCTGTTCCAACTCTGTAATTACTAATCAATGTATTCAAATTTGACTAGGACTCCCAAATGTAGCAAATTGGAGTTGAAAAAGTGCACTAGCTCTGCATGTATTCACGTAAGCATTAGGGCTATTGGTTCTAAGCAAAATGTAACAAAGATGCTCTGAAAGATAAAAGCAGTGAACATAATGATATCAATATTAAGACACTTATGACTTAATTTGTGCAAACAAGTTCAACTTTGTTTTGAAAGTAAGCAGAGATATTTTATATCTTATTGCAATGTTTCCATTAGGAGTCGCCTACGGGCTGAGAAAGGCGGTATACAAATACAGTAAATAAATAAATAAATAATGGTAGCTAGGTTGATTTTATTGGTAATATTTTAAACATGTTGATTAGCTTTTGCAAAGCACATTTTGGCCCCTAAAATCTGTTTTTGTATGTAGGCTATCTATACTGTGTGAAAATATTGATATAGCAAAGAAGAAACTTCCTGTTCATACTTTGGATGGTTTAATACTGAGCTACAAGGTAAGGCAAATTGAACTGAATTAAGATTGAAATAAAATAATGACTTCATGTTCAAATGTTAAGATAATATATAATCAAAATAAACACATAAATGAATAATTGCATCACTGTGTTGCCCCCCCCCCCCTTTTAGGTCCCTTGGCCTGTGGATATAGTTATAAGTGTGGAATGTCAGAAAATCTATAATCAAGTGTTTCTTCTATTGCTACAAATAAAGTGGGCCAAGTATAGTCTGGATGTGCTAAGATTTCATGGTAAGATAATTCATGGGCATATTTATTTCTGTACAATTAAAAACGTAGCACTAAAGACTGCTGAGCTATTAAACTCACTGTTTGCAGGTTTTGGAAAATACATTTTACTATCTGTTAGAATTCTTCCTTGCAGGGAGGAAAGAGGAACGGTGAAAAAAATTGAATGTAAAATGTGTGAAAGCAAGGGATGTGGGGAGAAGTAAGTGTTGTGGCAAATGTGCAGAGAAAGATTGATTAGAAAGAAAGATAAAAAGATCTTGCTGCTGGTACTTCCTATTTGGGGTTCAAGACAGCAACGTCCTTTTCTAGGGTAGGCCTTTGTTTTCCTGCTTCCTCTTTCAGATTTCAATCTTCTCCATCCAGCATTCTGGATCTACTGATTATGATCCGTCCTCATTGAGTTATGCTTTTGTCTTCTTCCTTATATGGAGATTTTGATACCTCTGCAAACCTTTGATTTTCCCCATGTTTTCTGATAACTTTGTAAATATGTGGTGCTATTTTGGTTTATAAGGAATCTACCCTTGGGAAATTAATTTGCTCTATAGGAAACTAGTGGTCCTCTTGATGTTGCTGGATTGAAACTATTCTACAGTAACATTGCTCCTGGGTGTTTCACAATAGAAAATGATAAAAATCCAATTAAAATATGCTTATGAGTTTAATAGCCTGATCAAGAGCTGTTGGACAATGGAATATGCTGACTTGCTGGGTGGTGGGGGTCTCCTTTTCTGGAGGTTTTGAAGCAGAGTCTGGATGGCCATCCTTCGGGGGTGTTTTGATTGTGTTTTCCTGCATGTCAGGGGGTTGAACTGTATGGCCTGTGTGATCTCTTCCAACTCTATGATTCTATAAGTATTGTACATACACATCTCTCAATTTTATGACTAGTATATCATCTGCTTCGTAATAAAACTGTCCAGTTTTAAATTCTTGTTTACAGTTATTTTTAGTTCTACTAAAAAACATTCAGGCCTAAATACCTTAAAGCCTGCAGATCGCTTCTGGTATTGGAAGCTAAGTAGGATCAGCTCTGGTTAGTACTTGGATATCAGAGTGCCAACAAATACAAATACTTAGCTGTAGGCTACGTTTCAGAAGAATGAATGGGAAAACCACCTCTAAGTATTCTTTGCCCAAGAAAACCATATGAAATTCATGGGGTTACTATAGATCAATAGGCAACTTTAAGGCGCATGCACGCGCCTGCACACACACACACTTACGTTTTTATACAGGAAGTTAGGCCTAAAGATTTTGTCTTTTTCCATCAGGACAATTCTGCCCTCTGCTGTTTAAACAGTTTCTCAAGCTCAGTACATTTAAAGGAAATTGTCAAAATAATAGTAACATTGTAAGAATTTTAGGTTATAAAGTCTTGCTCTTTCTCCTAACCTTTTATTATTTCCCCCTCTTTCTTAAGAACTAGTCAAAGCAGAAGAAAAAACTCAGAATGAAGGAGGAGCTATATTTGTACAAGAAGCACTCTCTCAGTTTGGGGAACAAACTGATCCCATTAAACAACAAACTCATCGCATGTTCCTTTTGAGAATGAAGCTCATGCACTTTGTTAACAGCCTGCATAACTACATCATGACTAGGGTAAGTGATGTACAGTCATTTGCAATCCATGTGATTTTCATCACTTTTAGTAATTCTGTAAGCTACAATAGGATGTGCGTGCACTATTTTCAGTAAGATTTACAAGTGGTTTACTTTTTCCAACAATACAGAATGGCATCTGACATTGTGCAGATGTTTTTAATGTTCATTTCATGATAAATCTGATATTTCACTGGTAGGACTTTTGGAACTTACTGTCCTTCACTTACATTATGCATCCCTGCCAATTATTCTATAAACAACCCTGGAGGATTTCCCAGCTTCCCTTAGCCAATTTTGGAACCTATTGGGGACTGTTACAATCTTGGAGAAACATTTGACTGGAATTCTCTCTTCTGACAGCAGATGTCAATGATTTACTATTACCCTTTGTTGGGCAAAAAAAGGGCTTCACTTATTGCTTAACTTAACAGTCGGATTTGCTGCTAATGTTCACTTTCAGTTTATAGCTATTTAGGTTTTAAATTAAACAATTCTGCTAAATTAAAATGCTTTGGGAGCATACAATTTATTTGTTATTGTTGCTAGAAATACAGTTTCCATATATTGTCATACAAGAAACCCTGTGCACAACGTAATATATTTAGTATATGGATCAGCTGGCTTTACTCTATATTTTGAACTGATCAACATGCCCCTGTTCCACATTTTGAGCTGTTTTAGATGCATCTTGGCAAATGAGACAAGGAAGTGAGAAATTTCTAATGCTTATTTTGCATATGTTAGCACTAAAATATTGTGATTTTGTAATTTAGTAAGGCAAGGTTTGGAGGCTTACCAAAGGTGGTGATTGCCACCATGGTATTTCCAGTCTCCATTGACATTTCAGAGGTTTACTCTTACATATGGGCAATGTGGTATTATATTATCATGAGGGGAAAAAAACATTGAGTTCTAAAAATGATTTAATCTGTAGAGTGTATTGATTTCCTTGGATGTGGGTTGTGGTCATTTACAAAACATATTTATCTGGTGTCTTCAGACGGGTAGTATTTTTTCCAATTAATTGATTTATTGTTTCTTGAATATGTTTATATAGATATAGATACATAGATATAGATGTATATGAAAATAGTCAATGTAATAATAAGTTTAAATGAGACCAATAATCAGTTTTACGCTCACATGCATATAGTTATATAAGACAGATGCTGGAAAAAATACATAAAATAAAGTACAGAAATTGGGTTCAGGCTGTTGAGCTTCCTTTAAGAAAGGAAAATATTTATATAGACAGACAGCTAGATAATAAATATATATGAAAATAGTCGATATAACCATAATTTGATTGATCCCAATGATCAGTTTTATGTTCACATGCATATAGTTATGTAAGGCAGATGCTGAAAAATAATAATAATATGAAAGTACTGAAATGGGGTTCAGGCTGTTGAGTTCCATTTAAGAAAGGAAAATGGAGTAAAAATAATATATGTATATATTTATTGTACACACACACCTACATATTGTTGTTGATATTATTAATGTGTTCAACAGCTATTTGGGGCAAAACAGGTCAGTTACTAAGTCAGCTCCCCAATCCTTGTAATTTGGCAACTTTTCTGAATTGAAAGTTGCTGTTGTTGTTTTTGTTGTCCTCCTCCTCCTCCTGCTCCTCCTTCGGTTTCAAAGAGTTTTATTTCATTTTCACACTTTTATACCGTTAGAGTAGGGAGAAAGGACAAGGAAATATAATAAATTGATTATGGAGTTTTGTTAGTAAGTTGGGTCTCTCCATTAGTCTACTGTACATACAAGAATGAGAAAGGGGAGGGTATTGTTATACATCTTCTATTTTTTATAGCAGGTCAATTCAAAATGTCTTTTGCCTAAGAAAAACAAAAATAATTAGTTTTTTTCTTTAGTATTTTTAAGTCCATGTGACTTTCAGACTGGTAGTATTATTGACCTGTTATATCAAAAAAATTAAAATGAAAATAAATGCAAAATCCATGTTTTCTGGTACCTTAAGGTGCCAAAAATGGAAAAGCACTATAGGTTTGTGTAGAAAATGAGATATCACTGAATGCAAAGTTTTTTTTTAATTATTATTGTTCATGTTGTCTCGTTTTTAAAGATTCTTCACAGCACGGGTTTGGAATTTCAACATCAGGTAGAAGAAGCAAAAGATTTGGATCAACTAATAAAAATTCATTACAGATACCTTTCTACAATCCACGATCGCTGCCTATTGAGGGAAAAGGTGGGTCAATGATCATATGTATTGTATATTTAGTTCATAAAGCAAATATCTGCATTACTTTAAATGTGTCTAGGATTTTTGATTGAGTGTGTTTGCATATGAGTAGATACAGATATATGAAAGAATCAGCATGATGTGGCTGGGTGTTGGACATAGACACTAAGAGTCTGGGGTTCAAATTCTCAGTCAGTTGTAGAAACTCACTGGGTGATTTTAAGCTGTTCACACTCAGTAGCTTTCATCTGAATAAATGTTGCCAAGAAAACCTTAAAATATGATCACTATAAGTCAGAGTCATCTTGAAGGCACATAAGCAAATACAAATGTACTTATTACATGACAGATGGTCTACCATTTTGATTAAGCTTTATGAATAAAATGCCTAACTGTTGTGACTCAGGTCCCAAAGATTGCCCAACACAGCAGATTAAGGGTTAACAAAAGTCTTTAATGAGTCTTTAACAAGCTAGCAGCACTTAAACAGCAATGCTACTTAGCAAAACAAAAGGACCTTCGTGCAGGTAAACAATAACAGAGATAAACCGGATTATCCCAGGACTCAGTCTCAGGAAAAAGGAAAGCTGGAGCAAAAACAAACAGTGGCAAAAGCGGAGTCAAACAGTCCTTGGTCGATAACGGACACAGGCAACAAACAAAGTCTGGCAGGCAGATGACGTGGTCCAGAGACGTTCCAAAAACAGGGGCAAGACGAAGTCACTCACGTAGTTCCAATCCGAAGTCAAGGTACACGAAGACAAGATAGCTGGATTCCCAGGACCCAAATGGAGGTTAGGCAGAACAAGACACCCGATACAACGCTTTGTCCTCTGCAAAGCTACACATCCCAGAACCCCCATTTTATTAGCAATCGCTATCGCTAGATTGATCCTCTTCACTAGCATCTGGGTCATTTCCTTCAGCTGCTGGCTCGTTACTCCGCCATCTCTGCCAGCGTTGATCCAAACCAGGATCCTGCCAAGATGTACCTGCCTGCCATGTATTTTGGAATCCCTCAAACTCGTCACTAGACGTGGGCTGTGTACATATGTCCTGAATTTCCCTAACCCAAGTCCAGTCCAATTCCTCCTCCATTTCCCCATTACTGGCTTCCAGTTCATCTGAACTGGAATTGTCAGCTGTATCTTTAAGCCGTTTACTCATAGTTTCTTTGTCACTATCAGACTCACTGGCAACCCGCTTTTCTCCCCGATAATCCAATTCCTCCAAATCCTCGGGTCCAAACCCTGCAAAATCTTCCGTGTCGCTAGGTGCCAAAATGATATCCCGAATACGCTTCAGCTGACGCTGATCCAGCTCTGACTCAGCATCACTCCTCCTCCTACAACCGGTAGTAGTTTCACTGCCAAGACACTGAGCCTCAACACTAACTTTTCCTAAACCATATATGAACATTGGTTTCAGATTGCATGTTCTCACAAAAATCACGGTTCATATATGGCTTTGGAACTGCAGTAGCACAACTAATATTTTTGCTTTATTTGTAAAATGTATATCCCTGAAGGGAAGAATGCTTTTGTAGTAATCTTCAAACAACCCCAGAAAATCAATTTCAAAAAAGTTATACGATTTGATTGTCCCTATTTAATAGGGATAGCTGTGAGTCCTGGCACCCACATTTTTCAAGTTTGCTACAATACCATGCAAATTGAATACAAAAAGAAGTGGTGAATTGGCCTAATTTTCCTGTGAAAGATGTTGTCTCCCAAGTCTGAAGAGGTGTTTTTGGCTAGAGTCCATTTTATGGCATATGAGATGCATACTAAAGGCCACAAGGGGCTTTTAAATGGCTTGATAATATCTGGATCCTTGCATTTGAATAGTGGTTTTGGATTAATCTTTTTATATGAAATGTGGAATGGGAATTAAAGGCCACATGGGAACTTTTAAAGGGCTGGATAATACCCTTGAGCCTTGTATTTGATATGCCTGATTTAGCAACATTGAAATGAATGTCCAGGAGCAGCAATTTTTTAGATAAAGCCATACAACCAATTAGTATGAGTAGGAAATTGGTGTGCACCTGGGAAAATATACATTTGAATCTCAAAATCAAAATGATCACAGCTGTTACTTTTGACATGTCATTTCCAGGTTAGTTTTGTGAAAGAAGCTATAATGAAAGTGCTGAACCTAGTACTGATGTTTGCAGAACGTTGGCAAGCCGGATTGGGAGCTTGGAAGTAAGCACATGCAAATTCATTGTGAATTTTGGCTGAATGTATCCAGATACCTGGGGCCCCACAGACTCATTTTTGTGTGCCTCCCAAAAATGGATGGATGCCCAAATTGGCATTTTTTTTTTGGTCCACAGACGGAAAATGCTGCTAGTTCCAGCCCTTTGGTGGCAGTGCCCCCCCCCCTCTCCCGGGCTCCCTTTCCTGTCATTTTTATGGCTATCGGGATGAAAATGGCCACACTTGGAGGATGCATCTGCCACTGCTGGCCAACCAAGTTTCATAATGTTTGGACCATCCCCTGATTTTAAGGAATTTATTTTCTTTCTAGAAATAAAATCTTTTAAAAATGCCTATTAAATTTTGGAATATGTGTTTTTAAATATTCTGAGTTAATGTTTTAAGTGGATAGTGATTTAATATTTAAATTTTCTGGTATGACAGATTGGTTTAGCTATTTTATTAAAAGTACTGTATAGGTAGTATATGGATCTCATGTCAAAAGCAAGATATTGGTCAAATAAAATTATGTGATGTTGGGAAAACATCTGGCTAGGTGGATGTGGCTGAACTGATGCCCCCGTTATTTGCCTACACTATTCCTCATTTGTTTTAAAAGCATAAATATATTCCAGATTTGTGTAGGAAAGCTACAGTTAAGTTGCTAAGTGATTCTGCCCTTCAAAATTAAACAGCATGCAATATTGGAAAGGTATGGTTTTACTTTGTGAAATTTGTTTTTTTGTGAGTATTGTCTGCTTAAATTATTTTCTACTATTCATAGGATGGAGTCTATAACTAAGATGGAATCCGATTTTAAAAACTGCCATATGTTCCTTGTGACGGTATTGAACAAAGCAGTGTGTCGAGGCTCCTTCCCACATTGTGAGTTGTCAGAATTGATATTTTAAAAATTAAATAATGAGTTTTTAAACTTACAAATATGTTGTAATTTCTTAATGCCTTCAAACTAAGTTATTTTTTAAACATAATTACCAGTATTATATCATGTGCAGTGAGAAGTATTTGGGTGTTTAATAGACAATTGTTAGAACGATGTGTAACTTCAGAAGATTATTGAAGAAATGGTATGAACTACTTGTGACATGTTTAGTTCACTAGCATTTTTTTTTTGTCTTTAGTTAATAAACACTTGACTTGTTTTCTTCTATAAATATTAACACCTTGTGTTTTAATTCACAGTGGAGTCCTTAGCCTTGTCGCTCATGGCTGGAATGGAACAAACTTAGCAAAACAGAGATTTGTGTGAAACTACTGAAACTCCAGCAATATCTTCTTTCCAGCATTGTGACAGTTCAGTACTTGAAGTATCTACTGAGATTTGCTTGCAGGATTTACTGAGGTTTTTCACATGGTTGCACATAATCGTACAGATATCTGTGCTCAAAGTCCTCTTGTAAATGAAATACTTAAAATCATGTATGTGTTCTGTATGTTAAATGTTAATTTGCCCTAACCAGGTCTTTATTTTCCTCTGTGAGGAACATGTGAAGAACAACCCATAAAATGCTTAATACAAATTTTCATGTGCAGTGTCAGTCATTTATTGTTTTGATGAGGTGGACTAAGTTCACTTTTCCATTGTCCAAGACTATTGATAATTTATCTTCTATTCCCATTGCTATATTGTAGTTATAATAAATTGGACTATTTTACTGGATTACATTTTTCATGGAGTGTGTTGCTATTTGTTTACTTAGTAGCACAGGAAGCCTTTTATGCCACAAACAGTGCATTTGCTCAATATAAAATGAAACGTGTGTTTGGTCATTCTAATGGCATCAGAGTGTTATTTTACAGTTTTATGATTTTAAATGCTATCATAATTACCACTTCAGTAGGATATTCTGTTAATATAATATACAAGGTTGCTTCCTTCTCCATTCTCTCCTGATATTACCTATTGTGAAATGTGGTGAAAGTTGATTGTGAGGAGGAACTGGGAGACATGTAAGGATAGTGGGTGTCTTGAAGTATACATGACTATATTGTCTACAAAATGTTTCCTTTTTTATTGGATACTTGGCTATCAAGAGCAGAGTAGAAAGTATCAAGAGTAGAGACAGTGCATTGATGTATAGAGGTGCTTGTTAATTCCATAGCGAGGTGGTAACTCTTTGTGTTGCAAAACCTTCCTGCCGTAATAAGCAGCAATGCTTCTATGTCGTGTGTGTGTTTGTATAGCATTTTATTTAGTTGAAAATCTTGATACTGATTCTCTGCAATTTAAAAAAATAATCACTGCTAATAATAACTGTAATAGAACCAAGACAAAAGTCAATTAGATATGTCTGTAAGTGACGCAATCAGTAGAAGAGTGGTTCTCAACCTGTGAGTCCCCAGTTGTTTTGGCCTTCTACTCCCAGAAATCCTAACAGCTGGTAAACTGGCCACGATTTCTGGGAGTTGTAGGCCAAAAACCTGGGGACTCACAGGTTGAGAACCACTGCAGTAGAATAAACAGGCACATAATGGACAATGTCAGAGAGCAGGTTTGCTAAAGAGAACTGTTGTCTATTCTTTGGAAGAATAATAGTGTTTCATAAATAACCACAGAGAAGATAATAGCTACTTGTAAGTAACTGTCATGGGTTCCTAAAGCTACAGGGTTTTAGTTTGCTAAAAACCCTGCATAGAGGCCAATCTAGCAAACACCTATCTTACTGCTGTCTTACATGAGGAGACATCCACTAAAACAATTGGGACCTTCAGGGCTAAAATCCTTTGCATTGGATCTGGAGATAAATGGGCAAGCTGTATTTTGTGTGCTCCAGAATAGAAAAAAATACGAGTACTGAGGGAACAATTTTTTATTATTGTGTTGCACCTGCCTAAACAAGAATATTATTTGTGTTCTATGCTAGCTGACACTCCTGAATTATTCTCAAAGGCAGCCCAGTATGAATAATAATGATCAGTATAATGGCAGAGGTATCTGAGTTTGCTTATAGATTCGTGCTTTTTCAAAAACAGCATTCTTTCAAACAGTGTTTAAAATTATCCCCTTTAAGAAAAAAATGACTGGATAGGTCTTGAATTTTACATTGATATTATAAAGTCTGAGTTTTACATTTTAAAATGTTTCCTCTAAAAGAAAGCACACAGTGGATTCATATATGTCATTTGACATTCTTATGCAATCATTTCTTCATTGCGGTCTTTAAAAAAACAGTTTCTATGCCAGCTGTACAAGAGATTTGATATGAAAGAATATATTCTGTGACTTGCATGGGGCACAGTGTGCAATAAGGAAAAAAAATCAATGGTGGGTCTATACAGAGATGACTGAAAGAAATTTTCTTTTGCTTCAATGTGTCTAGCCCAGGCATGGGCAGACTTCAGCCCTCCAGGTGTTTTGGACTTCAAATGCCACAATTCTGGCTGTTAGGAATTGTGGGAGTTGAAGTCTAAAACACCTTGGAGGACTGAAGTTTGCCCATGTCCAATCTAGACTCTGGATCTGTGCACCTAATGGAAAAAAATGACAATGTATGGTTATTTGTGGTCTTTTTCATTTGACTTTATTTGGAAAGAAAAAAAAGATGGAGAACCAGTGGGAAATAAAAAAAATACAAATATGTCAGATGCTTAGAACATTGTCCCATTCTGGCAGTGAATGAAACGGGAAGCTTCTATGATAATAAGCTCATCTGGGACCACCTTCTCAGATGTTCTTGATTACGATGGGGAATAAACTTAAATGTATTAGGTTTTGAAATATGTGACTGTTTTGGAATTATATATTGACGAGTATGGTGCTGTAAGTTGCCTTCTAATCATTACTGTAAAAGATGAGTTGTAAATAAATAATTTTTTTAAAAAGTATATTAGTTTAAAGTAGATTTTTTAACAACATGCCTTATTTATCTCCATTGATCCCAGTCTATTATTTAGTATTTGGCTGAAAGTTTAGTAAATTTTACTGGTTTTTTCCAGAATCATTCTGAGATTTCTTGGGCCTTTAGACCAAGGATTTGGTAGACATATGAAGGGTGTTCATTAAAGATTTCCCCTGACCTGCTTATATTTATCACAGGACTTTGAAACTGCACATGTATAATGATTTAAGTTTCTATAGGTTACGTGCCAATTTACAACCCAGAACTGATAACGGTCTTTTTTTTACAGGTGCTGAATTGGTGTGATGTTTGATAATGGATATAGTGGAATACAGAGCAGTCATCAAGTTACCGTATATTCCGGCATATAAGACGACTGGGCGTATAAGACGACCCCCAACTTTTCCAGTTAAAATATAGAGTTAAGACAACTCCCATGCATAAGACTACACCCGCGTATAAGACGACCCCTGACTTTTGAGAAGATTTTCTTGGGTTAAAAAGTAGTCTTATACGCCAGAATATACTGTATTTTATTTGAAATGTCGCACACCAAAGGAGACATTTGATGAGATGAAAGAGGTTTATGGTGATGATTCCCTATCATATGATCTAGTCAAGAACTGCATTGTCAATTCCAGTGTGGTCAGACTTCGGTGCAAACAGCTCCAATTCCAGAGCAACCCCACTGTGCTATTGATGAACACACTATCCAGCAAGTTAAGGTCACCATTTTGGAAAATTGCCTCATAACCATTCTCCATCTAGCCCAAAATGTCAATATTAGTATGGGGTCCATGGAAAAAATAATCCAAGACAATCTTCACATTTATAAGGTATGTGCTTGCTGGGTTCCCCGGCTGCTCACACCTTTCCAGAAGCAGAAATGAGTCGAATGCTTTCAGGTTCTATTGACAATGTGCCATGGAAACCAGGAGGACTTTTTCAACAGATTGATTACACAGGATGAAAGCTTGATCCATTACTATGATCCTGAGACTAAAGTCCAGTCAATGCAATGGAAGCATCATGACTCACCGCCTCCAAAGAAGGCATGTGCCCAACTTTCAGCAGGCAAGGTCATGCTCACAGTATTTTGGGACCAGCATGGAGTAGTACTGATGCATTTCGTAGCAAAGGGTACCATGATCACTGAGGCATACTATGCTTCATTGCTGCGGAAATTGCAGGAGGCCATCAAAACCAAGAGACTGCTACAGAAATTGCGGGAGGCCATCAAAACCAAGAGATGTGGCATGTCACCAAAGGCGCCCACTTTCTGCAAGACAATGCACTTATTATTTATTTATTTATTTCAGTTACTTCTACCCCGCCCTTCTCACCCCAAATGGAAGAAGCATGCTCCTGTGGCTTTGAAATTCTACCCCATTCACTAGACCTCACACCATCGGATTTCCACTTCTTTCCAACAATGAATTTATTTTTGAAGGGCAAGCATTTTGCAGATGACGAGACTCTTATTTCCAAAGTCACAACGTGGCTTTTGGAGCAACCTGTCAACTTCTACAAGCGAGGTGTTTACAGTTGCTTAACAAGATGGGAGACACCTATGAGAAAAAACTAATAACTCTGCCAAGTTTCATTGCTCAGTCCACAGGAAGTGGGTCAGGGGAAATCTTTAATGAACGCCCCTCATACAATAATATGCAAGTGCAAAAATGTACACTTTCAGTCGTTTGGAGAAAAATGATGAACACGTTCATAGGCTTAAAGAGCAATCTATTATACATTGGGTAGTCCCTCATGCCAACCGGTTCAAGGTATTTGCATCATAACGGGGCACTTCTTTCCTTTTGTTTGCAACAGAAAATAGATCTCAAGATTGTCTTCATATTAGCATACAATTAGCATTTTTTTCCTGCAAAATTCCTCCACTTTATAGTGGAACTTGGGTAGCCAGGTGAAATAAGGGACAGAGCTTGCTGTTATGTGCCTTCACATCATTTCTGACTGATGAAGACCCACAGGGTTTTCTGGATAAGTAGATTTTCATGGTTAAACTGGGATTCGAACCTTATTCTCCAGGATTGTAATCCAACACTCAAACCACAATGACACACTGGCCCTTTAATGGTTATGTAAGACAATGCTACTCAAAGCAGTGTTGGGCTCTGACTCATTGGCTGCTGATCTCTGGACAGTTTCCAAGAAAGAAAAGCAGTTGTACCCAATAGACAAAAATGTAGTGCCAGTCCCTGGTATATTTGGGGAAATAATTGCCAGACTCTCTCCTAGCGGACAGCCTGAAAAGAGAGATGGACGTCTGATGTTGCTTGTCACCACGGCACCTTCTGCTGAAATTCTGTCCTGTACAGCCATTGAAGGGAAGGGGCTGCTGTACGGATCAAAAGAGCTTTTGATCTATTTTGATTGCATTTTAGATTTAGGTGTGAACTGTTTTGATATTGTAAGTAGTCTGATTTTATTTTAATGTTTCAACATGTTTTTAAATGTATTCTCTTAAATTCTGAGCTGCTTAGGGTCCCAATTTTGGGGACAAAGGGGGTGCTGATACTGATGTATTGGTTGGGACGGGATGCACGGGCTGCAAAATGGTGTGAACCTAGTAGAGAATGCCCTGGTTAAGAAGGAAAAGATGGGAATTCCTTGGCAGGCAAGTCAAATAGGCAGACCTCTTCCTTTCTTTTGACTCTTCTTTCTCTTCCCTCCCCCCTTTTCACTTTTTTCTCTCCCTTTCATTTTCTTCCTTTCTCACCCTTCCATTTCTTCTCTCTTTCCCTCTCCCATCCTTCCTCTCTCCTGATCTTTTCCTCTCTTCCCTTCTTCCTCTTTGAGGCCCCTTCTACACACATGATAAAATCCACAATGAACTGGAATATATGGCAATGTGGACTCAGACAACCCAGTTCAAAGCAGATATTGTGGGTTATCTGCCTTGATATTCTGGGTTATATGGCTGTGTGGAAGGGCCTTCACTTCCCCCCTTTCGTTCTTTTCTCGCTTCCCTTCTTCCTTCCTCTCTCGCTTTCCTCCTTTCATTCTTTCTCTCTTCCCTTTTCCCCTTTCTTCTGTCCTTTCCCCCTTTGGTTTTTTTTTTCCTCTTCACTTCTTCCTTTCTCTCCAGGCCCTTCCACACAGTCCTATAATTCAGAATATCAAGGCAGAAAATCCCACAATATCTACTTTGAACTGGGTTATCTGAGTCCACACTCATATTCCAGTTCAAAGCAGATATTGTGGGATTTTCTGCCTTGATATTCTGGGATATAGGGCTGTGTGGAAGGACCCCCTCTCTCCTCTTCCTTCCTTTAATCTCTCTTCTGTTCTTCTCAGTTCTTTCTTTCCTTTCTCTATTTCATCATTCTGTCCTTTCTCAATTTCTTCTGTCCATTCTTCCCCTTCCTTCCATTCATTCTATCTTTCCCTTCCATTTCTTCTCTCCTTCTCCCTTCTGCTCTTTCAGTCTCTTCCCTTCTTTCCTCTCATTTCCTTTCATTCTTTTCCTTACTTACCTTCTTCCTTCCACTCTTGCTTTCCTTCAGTCTTTCTCTCTTCCCTTTTCCCTTATGTCCTTTCTCTCTCCCCCTTATTTTTTCCTCTTCACTTTTTTCCTTCCTTTCTCTCTTCCATCCTTGTAGTCTCTCTATTCCTTCTGTCTATTCCTCCCCTTCCTTCCTTTATTTCTTCTCTCTTTCCTTAATCTCTCTTCCTTCTGTTCTTTTCCTCTTATGTCCCCCCTTTCGTTATTTCTCTCTCTCTTTCCTCCCTTCTGTCCTTTCTATCTCCTTTCGGTTCTTTCTCTTCATTCTTTCCTTTTTCTCGCCCCTTCCTTCCTTCCATCTCCCCTTCAATTCTTTCTCCTTACTTCTTTACTTCCTCTCCCCTCTCTACCTTTCTTCTTTCCTCCTTCCTTTCCTCTTTCTTCCTTTCTCCTATTTCTTTTCCCCTTTCTCCTTCCTTCTCCCTCCCTCCCTCCCTTCAGTTCTTTCACCACCTTTCCTCCCTTCTTCTTCTCCCCTTCCTCCTCCCTCCAGTTCTTTCTCCTTCATTCTTTCTTTCCTTTCTTCCTCTTCCCTTCCTCCTTTTCTTCTTTCTCTCACTCCCTCCCATCCTTCGGTTCTTTCTCTTCATTTCTTTCCTTCCTCTCCCCTTCTTCCCTTTCTTCTTCTCTCTTTTCCTCCCTCCCTTGAGTTCTTTTCTCCTCCCTTCTTTCCTTCTTCACTTTCTTCTTCTTTCTCTCCCTCCCTTCGGTTCTTTCTCCTTTCATTCTTTCCTTCGTCCCCGCCTTCTTTATCTCCCTCCCTTTCTTTGGTTCTTTCTCCTCACTTCTTTCCTTTCTTCCCCCCTTTCCCCTTCTTCCCTTTTTTCTTTCTCTCTCTCCCTCTTCCGTTCTTCCTCCTCACTTCTTTCCTCCCTTTCCCTCTCTCACCCTTCTGCCCTTCCTCTCATTCACTTCCTTCCCTTCTCCCTCCCTCCTTCCTTCCTTGAGGAGGCTGGGCAGGAGTTTGGGACGGAGGAGGAGCTGGAGTTAGGAAGGAGGAAGGGTGTTTCCTGGCGAGTCTTGTTTGGAGTGACTCAGACAGGAAACTCCCAGCTTCGTGCGCGGCGGGCCTGCGAGGCAAGGGAAGTGGCCCGGGCCAAGGAGAGCAGACCCTCTCCGCTTCCTCCTCCTCCTCTTCTTCGGCCCGCGAAGGAGTGGCGCCTGGACCCGCGGAGAGAGGGAGAGAGAGAGACGGGGAGAGGAAGGCGGGCGCCGGGCCTGGCGAGGAGGCGGCTGCTGGGTGAGAGGACCCTTCTTCTCCCGCTTGGCGCCCGCCTGCTGTTCCGGGCTGGGGCCTGTGAGGACGGGGTTCGCCGCCTGGCTGTGCAGGCGTGGGGTCGGGGCGGAGGCCGGGGGAAAGGGAAGGCTTGCCCAGCTGCGGCCTAAACGGAGGAGGGAGGCCGGGCGGGCGGGCCTTGAGACTCCAACTTCCCTCCAGCGGGCGCCTCAGAGAAAGGAAGGAAGGGGACCCGGGCGTGTCTGCCTGAGGCCACACGGTAGAATTAACGCGGTTTGATACCCCTTCAGCAGCCAGGGCCTAAAGCTACAGGAGTTTCACAAAATCTTTGACCTTCTCTGTTCCAAAGTGCAGGTGCCTCACTAAACTACAGCTCCCAGGACCCCATAGCCTTCAGGCCTGGCAGTTAAAGTGGTGTCAAACTGCATTGATTATAGAATATAGATGCAGCTCAAATCTGGGTGAACCTTAAACGAGTGTAGGTCTGTATGTGCCTTGCAAGTAGCCTCTGGATCTGTGAATTTCATGGGGAAATCGAAGTTAGGATTGTTGTGAGTTTTCTGGCCTGTATGGCCATATATTCCAGAAGCACTCTCTCCTGACATTTTGCCCACATCCTCAGAGGTTGTGAAGTCTGTTGGAAACTAGGCAAGTGAAGTTTCTATATCTGTGGAATGTCCATGGTGGGGGAAAGAACTCTTGTCTGCTTGAGGCAGGTGTGAATGTTGCAGTTGGCCAGTTAGCATTGAATAGCCTTGAGCTCCAAAGCCTGGCTGCTTCCTGCCTGGAGGAATAACACCTCCCAACAAAGGATTCCCCCAGGCAGGAAGCAGCCAGGCTTTGGAGCTGCAAGGCCATGCAATGCCAGTTAGCATTGAATAGCCTTGAGCCTGGCTGCTTCCTGCGTGGGGAAATAACACCTCCCAACAAAGGATTCCCCCATGGAGGAAGCAGGCAGGCTTTGAAGCTGCAAGGCTATTCAATGCTAAGTGGCCAGTTGCAACATTCACACCTGCCTCAAACAGACAAGTTTTCTTTCTCCCACAGATCTGAAAAGATGGATGACATTGATCTTTGGATAACATGACTTAATGTAGTAAAGGATTTGGGATATGTGCTAGTAACTTCGCAGTATGTTTTTTTTTAGCCACATATAATCGAAAAATTATTATTTAGAAGGAAGATCTAAGTGTACTCAGTAGAACTCATTTCCATAAATATGCATAGGATTGCGACTGAGCTAATTAAAAGGCAGCTAATCAGTTTTAAGCAGTTTGGTGTGGTATGCGGAAGGGAGCCTTTTAAAATTCATTTTCAAGAAATATGTATATTTCTCATAGACATTTGAGCAGTAGGCATTTTTAAAAATACAGTTTGGTTAAGTGTTGCCATCTTAATACTAAGTAAAGGTAAAGGTTTCCCCTGACATTAAGTCTAGTTGTGTCAGACTCTGAGGGGTGGTGCTCATCTCCATTTCTAAGCCAAAGAGCCGGCGTTGTCCGTAGACACCTCCAAGGCCAGCATGACTGCATGGAGCGCCGTTACTTTCCTTCAGAAGCGATACCTATTGATCTACTCACATTTGCATGTTTTCGAACTAATAGGTTGGCAGAAGCTGGGGCTAACAGCAGGAGCTCACCCCGCTCCCTGGATTTGAACTGCCAACCTGAAAGTCAGCAAGTTCAGCTGCTCAATGGTTTAACTCACTGCGCCATCAGGGAACACCATCTTAATACTAACACTGGCATAATATTATATTGAAATATTTGATCTGGGCACCATAAATCTCAGGTACACTAAGTATTAATTTAGGATAGAGAGAGCCACACACTTTAGAAAGTGTGGAATATATACTGTCTCTTAGGACAAACTAATTTAGAACAGAAATAGTCCAGGGCCCAAATGCTTGAAGGATGCGCAGTTTACTGTTTCGACATTGTTTTGGTTTTAAAAGAGGTTTTTAGAGTTGAAAATAAATTGTGATATCTGCCTAAGAAATATAGAGTGGAATTAATTAAATTGTCATTAAACCTTTAAAATTGTTTTACTTATTATTAACAAATAGGCATTCATACTGGTACTTAAAATCTCTCCCAACCTCAAATCTAATTAAGTTGAATTGAATTAACAAGGCTATGAGAAATAAAAGGAATTGATTGGAACTGAATTTAACAATGTGCACCAAATTTTAGTAACAGACAACAATCATATTTTTTAAACAAATATTATATGGAGAGCTGGGAAGTTTGGGAAAAGTTGTAGAACTGCAGGTAACCCATGGACCACTCTGCCTAGCTTTGGTATGAAACAGGCCTGCATAACTTGTGGCCCTTCAGATGCTTGGACCTCAAACTCCCAGAAGCCCTAGCCAGCATGTCCAATGGTCAGGAATTATGGGATCCAAAGTCGAAAATATTTGGAGGGGTGCAGGCTGTGCAAGCCAGTCTAGAGTATTGCAGTTAAGTGATATTAGGATTGGTGTCACTAAAGTGGAGAGATGTTTCTCTGTATGGCCATATGTTCCAGAATCATTCTCCTGACGTTTCGCCCACATCTGTGGCAGGCATCCTTAGAAGTTGAGAGGTCTGTTGGAAACTAGGCAAGTGAGGTGTATATATCTGTGGAATAATGTCCAGGGTGGGAGAACAACTCTTGTCTGCTTGAGGCAAGCGTGAATGTTGCAATTGGCCACCTTGATTAGCATTTAATGGCCTTGTAGCTTCAAAGCCTGGCTGCTTCCTGCCTTTGGGGAATCCTTTTTTGGGAGGTGTTAGCTGGCTCTGATGATTTTTTTTTTTAGTGTTGCTCTTTATTTACTGTCCTGCTTTTAGAGTTTTTTAAAATAGCTAAATTTTATTCATTTTCATGGTTTACTCCTTTCTGTTGAAATTGTCCACATGCTTGTGGATTTCAGAGTGGCCTCTCTGTGTAGTCTGACTTGGTAGTTGTTAGAGTGGTCCAGCATTTCTGTGTTCTCAAATAATAAGTTGGTTCATCGGCTGACTTCTCAGATTGAATTAGTCTGCAGTGCCTTCCATATTTCTTGATCCCAGGTTGGGCACTGCATTTGGTGGTCCCTATGTAGACTTGTCCACAGCTGCATAGTATACAGTAGACTCCTGCAGAGGTGAGAGGATCCCATTTGTCCTTTGCTGAACGTAGCATTTGTTGGATTTTCTTTGTGGGTCTGCAGATGGTTTGTAGGTTGTTTTTCTTCAACAGTTTCCCTATGCGGTCAGTGGTTCCCTTGATGTATGGCAAGAACACTTTTCCTCTGGGTGGATCTTTGTCTTTACTCTCGTGGCTTGTTCTCAGGAGCCCCCAATGGCGCAGTAGGTTAAACCCCTGTGCCGGCAGGACTGAAGACTGACAGGTCACAGGTTCAAATCTGGGGAGAGGCGGATGAGCTCCCTCTATCAGCTCCAGCTCCTCATGCGGGGACATGAGAGAAGCCTCCCACATGGATGATGAAAACATCAAAATCATCCGGGCGTCCCCTGGGCCCTTGCAGACGGCCAGTTCTCTCACACCAGAAGCAACTTGCAGTTTCTCAAGTTGTTCCTGATACGACAAAAAAAAAAGTCTTGCAGCTCTTCTGATGTTTGAGGTATACAGACATTCATTGGCCTGTAGAGCCCAGTTTAGATGGTTCAGTTCACCTTGGAGGAGGTGGGGTTCTATTGTCTATATTGGGTGGTAAAAATAGCCCTGGCATTCACTCCTCACCACACCTTCAATGCTGTTTAGCAGTGTTTAAGCTCAACAAAGCTTTGTTGTGGTTGTCAAATCAGAAGAGGCAAGCACAAGAGGTACTATTTATTTATTTACTATATTTATATATCTCCCCTCTCAGCCCAGAGGCAACTTGGAGCGACTAGAAGAGATTTTGCAGATTTTGCATGGTCTGATATTGCCCATGCTTCTAGTTGGAAAATTGGTGTTGGTCTATTAGTACTATTGACAAAGCTGGCAGAGACTTCTTGGACTTAGTGTCCAAAGCATTTGGGAATGTTAAAGTTTTCTCTTTTCTTCTCTTAAGTCAACTCTTAAGAAGTCCAGGGAGAACATTAAAGGAGGTTGAAGTTAACCTACCATAAGATTTAGAAAGTAGTCCCTCCCTGGCTTGAGGGGTTCAAAAAGAGAGTTTGTGATGGTTAAGTGTGTTTGTAAAGAAGGAGACAGGGTGAGGCACACATGCTAAACAGGTTGCATATGGCCCACCGAGCTCACAACGGCACAACAGTTATGAACATGTGAACAGAAAGCATCATTTGGTCTGATATTTTTCTTATTAAACCTTTCTGCTTGCTTTTACAATTTATATGTAGCATAAAAGGCACCTCTAAATGTTCAGCTAAGATACCTTGACACATTGAAAAATTTCTTCTTTCATTATCCGCCAGATTACCTAGGTTGATGGGCATTGGAGTTCAAATGACATTTGGAGGAATTGTTCCCATCCATGTTCTTTAGTTCACACAAAGATCATAAACTGTTGTTTTGAGCATGCCACTTGAGAAGGTGAAAACTCACGTAAGAGAATTATTGTTGTTGTGTGTTTTCGAGTTGACTTACAGCTTTCTTGGAAAGATTTGTACAGGACAGGATTGTCTTTCTTTCTCTGAGGCTAAGAGAATGTCTTGTTCAAGGTCACTCAGTGGGTTTCCATGGCCAAGGGGGGATTCAAACCCTGGTCTCCAGAATTGTCCAGTGTTCAAACCATTACACTACACTGGCTTTCCACATAATAGAATATAGGCAGCCCCGAGTTACAAACATTTGACTTACATCCTAGTTAAGAATGGGGGTGCAACAAAAGGAAGTGAGATAAATCTACCCCTAGGAAGGAAAATTCACTCCTGGAAGAGTTATCATAGGAAAAAGGTATTTTCACTGAAGTTTTCTCACCAATCCTTGTTTCTATAACAAGCCAAACTTTTCAAAGTCCAATTCCCACAGGGACAGAAAGTGAGGCAAAATCTTCTATACTTATTATCGATGTA